AGGAGGTGGAGGAGGAGGAGGAGGTGGGAGGCGGTGGAGGAGGAGAGGAGGAGGAGGAGGAGGAGGAGGAGGAGGGAGGAGGAGGAGGAGGAGGAGGAGGAGGAGGGAGAGGGGAGGGACGGAGAGAGGGAGAGAGAAGGAGATAGGGAGGGAGGGAGGGAGGGATGGAAGAGGAGAAGGAGGAAGTGGAGGAGGAGGAAGAGGAGGAGGACGACGAGGGAGGAGGGAGGAGGGAAGAGGAGGGAGGAGGGAGTAAGAGGAGACTGTGAGAGTTGTGAGAGTTGCTCACACAGGTGGGTAGGCAACCGCTAGGGTGCAGGAGGCTCGACGGGCCATGCGAGGTCTGCCCTCGCTCGACACCTGGGCTGCCCGCCCCGCACTGCTCCAGCCATTCCTGCCGCGGCCTGTCGCTCGCGGCGGGCTCCAGCTCCCCAATAACCTGGGGGCAGTGGCGGGGGAGAGGCGGGCGGGAGGGGAGAGGAGGAGGAGGCTCGAGGACGAGGACGAGGAGGAGGAGGAGGAGGAGGAGGAGGAAGAGGAGGAGGGGGAGGGGAGGGGAGGGGGGAGGGGGCGGGGGAGAGGCGGGAGGGGAGAGGGAGGAGGAGAGGGACGAGCAGGACAGAGGCTGCCCCCACGGCGCCTCCGCCGGGCTGCTGCGTACGCCGAGCCCACTCACTCAGGGAACGAGGCCGCGCTCCACGACCCGAGCCTCGCCTGTGCCTGCAGGTCGGGGCCCTGGAAGTCCCTCGACGGCACAGGCGGGTCACCTGGCCCGAGACTCGGCGGCACCCAGACGCAGGTTTGCAGGTCCCTTTGCCAGAGGGTGGGCAGGCGGGACATCCACGAGCCTCACCCGACCACGATGTGGTGCGGGGTGGCCCGAGTGCTGAGATGAATCCACCCCCCTCGGCACCAGGGTGCTTCTAGTGCAGACGCGGGATCTCCCTGGGCGCCGCGCGGGTGCTGTACCAGCAAGCCGACTTCTGTCCTGGGGGCGAGGAGGAGGGAGAGGAGAAGGATGAGGATGATAGGGAGGAGGAGGAGGAGGAGGAGGAGGAGGAGGAGGAGGAGGAGGAGGAGGAGGAGGAGAAGGGGGGAGGGGGGGGAGTAGGAGGAGTAGGATGAGGAGGATAAGGATACTTATAGGAGGGGGAGGAGGGGGATGCGGATAATAGGAGCGGATGGATTCGGATAGGATCGGGCGGCGTCGATGGGGAACGATCCATGGTGGGGAGCAGGGAAACGTGCCACACGTGCCCGCCATAGTGAGGGTTTGCGACGCTGTTTGACGGGCCCGCCCCGAATTTTGATTCCAGGCTTCTCAAGTGGGGTCCGAGCAGATGGGGTCGGTGGACCGCGCCGCATCGCCGACGCCTCGGGGGTGGAGCTAGATGCGGAGCCCGACGTTCTTCACGCTGGCGCCGCCGATGCACCGGCGATGCGGCGAGATCCTCCGACCCCATCTACCCACATTTTGGAGGCCTCTATTGACGGTCAAGTTGTCGTGGGATGTTTTAGGCCGTACGTCTTCCTGAGGAGCAGGGAGAGAGACGGAGGGGGGAGAGGAGTAGGAGGAGGATCATAATCTAGTATCGGTAAGCATAGGATAGGGTGGTTCCGATGGGAAAGTTGCTATGGAAGGGCAGCATGTCCGCTGAATGGAGAAATGCAACATAGGGAGGGGACGGACGTTTTCCCAGAGGGGATTCTCGCGGCCCAGCGCACAGAAGCGAGAGGGAGAAGCGAGATGGGGTGGTACATGCGGTGGAGCCCCCTGTGGGGCCACGAAACGTTGTATTGGGTGGTGGCTGACGCATGCGGGCGGTGCCATTGGGGCCGTCGGTAGAGCCCCCTATCTGGCCACGAAGCGCTGTACTGGATGGTGGCTGACGCATGCGGCGGTCCCACTGGGAGCTTCGGTGAAGTCCCCCATGGGACCACGAATCGCTGTACTGGGTGTTGGCTGACGCATGCGGGCTGTGCCACTGGGGCCTTCGGTGGAGCTCCCTATGGGGCCACGAAACGCTGTGTTGGGTGGTGGCCGACGCATGCGGGCGGTGCCAACGGGGACGTCGGTGGAACTCCCCATGGGCCCCGAAGCGTTGTATTGGGTGGGTGAAACGCAGGGAGGAAGGAGGAGGGGGAGGAAGAGGAGGGGGAGGAGGAAGGAATTAAAACACGAGGAAAGCGGGGACCGCCTCTTCAGCACGAGGACCCAACACCACAGGATTGTTGGGAAAACCATAGGTTTGACAAATCAGAAGCGCAATGTTTCGAACCAGATTTGTTCCCAACCATCCTGTGATGTTGGGTCCTCGTTTTAAAGAGACAGCGCCCCGCGTCTCCTCCTCCCTCTCCTCCCCCTCCTCCCCCTCCTCCCTCCTCCCCCTCCTTGCTTTGGCTCTCCGCATGTCCCTGTCTCTGCACACCCCTCACACTTTTCGTGACCCCATAGGGAGCTCCTCGTAAGGTCCCAGTGGCGCAGCTCGCATGGCGCCTCCGCCCCATTTTGGCACACCCCTCTCACGTTTCGTGGACCCATCGGGCGCTCCACCTATGGTCCCAGTGGCGCAGCTCGCATAGCGCCGCCGCCCAATGTTGGCACACCCCTCACACGTTTCGTGGCCCCATAGGGAGCTCCTCCTAAAGTCCCAGTGGCGCAGCTCGCATGGCGCCGCCGCCCCATTTCGGCACACCCTTGACACGTTTCGTGGCCACATCGGAAGCTCCACCTAAGTTCCGAGTGGCGTAGTCCGCATAGCGCCGCCGCCCAATTCTGGCACACCCCTCACGCGTTTCGTGGCCCCGTTGGGAGCTCAACGGAAGGTCCCACTGGCGCAGTCCGCATGGCCTTGCCGCCTTATTTTGGCACATTCCTCACACGCTTCGTGGCCTCATAGAGAGCTCCGCCTAAGGCCCCGGTGGCGCAGTCCGCATGGCGCCGCCTCATGTTTGGTTTTGGCACACACATACTACACACGTTTCGTGGCCCTATAGGGTATAGGGAGCTCCACCTAAGGTCCCAGTGGCGCAGTTCGCATGGCGGCGCCGCCCCATGTTTGCACACCCCTCACACGTTTTGTTGCCCCATAGGGAGCTCCACCTGATGCCGCACAGTTCTCATGTGGGTGTCGTCCCCGTTTCGGCGCACCCCTCACTCGCTTCGTGGCACAACAGTGAGCCCCACCCAATGCCCCAGTGGCACAGTTCGCATGTGGGCGGCGCCCCCGTTTCGGCACACACCTCACACGTTTCGCTGCTCCATAGGGAGCTCCACCTGAAGGCCCATGTCGTGCAGTTCGCGTGTGTGCGTCAACCCGCGGTTCGGTACACCCCTCACACTTTTCGTGGCCCCATAGAGAGCTCCACCACCGAAGGCGCCAATAGCAGTGCTCAGACGTGGGCGTCACCCCTGTTTCGGCACACCCTTGACGTGTTGCGTGGCTCCATAAGGGGACTCCACCTAAGGCCCCAGCGGCAGTGCTCACATGTGGGCGTCACTCTCGCTTTGGCCCACCCCTCACATGTTTCGTGGCCCCATACGGAGCTTCACCGAATACGGTTCTCACAACTGCGCTACTCACAATTGCATATGGTTGGGTCCTTCGCCAGGATAATGTTGGAAGAACTGGTTCTGCGCGCTCTCTCTCTCTCTCTCTCTTTCTCCTCTCCCACCCCTCCTACTCCCCTCCTTTTCTCTCTTTTCCCCTCTCCTTCTTGTGATATGTGTTCTATGAGATTCTGACCATTGCAGCTTTGCGAAGACACGGACGTGCGGTAGGGCTGTGGGATTTTCACCAGTGCAGCTTCCCGAAGTTACGAAAGTGTGGCAGGGCTAGGTCGTCGTCGTCGTCGTCTTCTTCTTGCGACGGCGACGACGAACTCCTCTTTCTTCGTAATGCATCCCACGTGCGACTTGCCAGGACAAATTGTTTATTATCCCCCCCGGGACGCTGAAATTTATTCTCCCCCGGGGAATATTCTCGGGGGCACCCGGTTAGAAGTCGATCGTCTTCAGTGGGCACCCTTGAGCCGATCGTTGCCAGTCGATGTCTCCAGTCAATCGTCGTCGTCGGTTGTCGTCATCCGTCGTCGCCGCCGGAGGAGTGAGACAGGGACGCTCAGAAGGAAGAAAGGGGGGATGGGGAGGACAAGGACGAGGAGGAGTAGGAGGAACAGGAGTATGGGGGGAGAGCGAAGAGGAGACAGAGGTGCGAAGACGAAAGATGAGTACTTGAGTGGGAGAGACGTGGAGGCGGGAATGCAGGAAGGAGTGAGAAAGGAGGGCCAGCGATTAGTGGGGAGGAGGGGACGGGGGAAGTACCTTGAGCTCCAGAATCCCTTTCTCTTCCTCTTCCTCCTCCTTCCGCTCTCATCCCCCTCCCGCCCTCCCCTCTCTTCCCGACCTCACTGACAAAACATGCACACACACAAACGCGCAATTTCAGCATCATCTACGCCGTTTGAGTATGTCTTGGTACATTTCTGGTGATGTGCAATAGTTCTGCAGTTGAAGGCTGGGCCAGGTTACCCAGTGGCATGGGCGGTCGCCAGTCTAATGACTCTTTATGGTTTCGATGGGATTGGCAATCTGCTGGGCCGTATTGTGGCCAGCATCCTGCGGGATTCGCCCATGCCGCAGTAGCCTTGTGCATGGCGTCTGCGGTGGTTGACAGCTCCTACCTGTTGTGGCTTGATGGGCTTGTTTTCCACCACCACCTCAAGTTGGAGGGGGAGGGGGTCCTCCACCTCCTCCTCCTGCTCGTCCTCCTCCTCCTCCTCGTCCTCTTCCTCTTTCCCCCCGCCAACTTATGGTGGTTGGATTGGCGCTAATGTTTGGAGCGTCGCCGACACGAACCCGACCACCCATCCTGCAGGTCGCCTGCGCGTGCGGGGGGCTGCCTGCGGGATTCTTCTTCGATTGCTGAGGCCTGACCGGCCAGTGCCGCCGACCCTGGAGGACGACCCTCACGGGGGAAGAGGGGGCATATTGGGAGCATCTTGGGGGCCTCGTGGGAGCCTCTTGGGAGCCTCTTTGGGAGCTTCCTGGGGGCCTCTCGGGGCCTCGTGGGGGCTCCGTGGGCCTCTTCGCGTTCGGGAGGCTGGCTACGGGATTCCTCTATTTACCATGGCGGAGCGTGCTGATGTACGTGACACCCGTGGTGTAGAAGCACTGTGCATACGCCAGTCATTCTTTTGAAACGTGATTTGGTACGCATTTGACCAATGGGGGCCTTTCCGAACGGCGGGGGGGGGGACAGCCTTCGCTCCAGGAGAGCAAGTCAAGATCGCAGCCTCCGCGTCACTCGGAGGCTGGCATTGGTGGCCGTGCAGGTTCTGATCTTTGTAGTGTTCCAGGTATCGCGAGTGGTGCGCGAGTTTGACGTGAAGATGTCCAATGGAGACATCAGATGATCGCAGTAGACAGACCATCGTGTCACACTTCGGCGTGACCATCACCAACTTAACGCTCACATATGGGATGATGTTGGCAGCAATTGGCGCACTTGGCTTCCTTGTGGGTGTTCCTAGCGCAGTCATGGCCTCGGCGTTACCCACAGCCCAGGCCATTCGATCTGCCGCGTGCTAGCAGCATCGCAGAAACAGTAGACGCCGTCGCCGAGGATCTCGTTTGATTCGTTGTGTGGCAATCCTCGTCTGGGATCGGTGATCTGTGCGTCATGGATCGGCTGGGAGACGGAAATGGGCCAGTGTGTTGCATTGGTCTGACGCGTCATTCACGACACAAAGTCAAACGGACGTTCCCAAGCCAGTCGGCACGGCGGCACGGCCCAATGGAGAAACCATGCGTCAAGTGTTTCGTGTTGAGTTGCGCATCCTCAGTTTCGTCGAAGACGTCTCGGCTCGTTCCTCCTTTTCTTTGCGCGCAGAGGTGCCTGGACACTCGCGAGGCTCGTAACAAAGTTCTCGGCTTGACCTCTTCTTCCAAAGGTGGGGCAGGGCGCGCAATCCTCTGCCACGGCGAGCATATGGCCACCTGCGGCACGCGTTTTGAGCGCCCCAAGTCTATTCGTGCACTGGGCGGGGGCAACCGGCGATCTCGATTTGGGAATTTTGCAGTTGTCTTCCAGACGAGAATTGGGCGCAGGACGCCATCTCCGTGCGCAGAGTGGCAGCGAGCCCCGGGGAGACGATCTCGAGGCTTTCGGATCGCTTCAGGGCTCGCCGTCAATTTGCACGCGGAGGTGGTGTTCCCCTCGCGCATGGCCCCCCTGTCTCCCGTGGGGTACCCCGAGCTTTGCAGATGCCTTCGAGGAGGCTCCTCCGATGGCCCGCAGCCTGTGTCGGCCCTCGCTGCGCCGCCTGCACCGTATTGGCGGGCCTCGGTGGACGAGCACACGCTGGCGCCAGCACGTTCTGAGGATCATCGAGCCAGCGTGCATTCATCAGGATAGGGCGACTTCGGCATTCCAGGCCTAGTGCTTCGATAGAGTATGTTCTCCGCCCTCAGAGATCTTCGCCCCAAGCAGCCTGTCATCGTGATCCTCCCTTTTCCACTCCTCCTCCCTGCTTGCCCCCTCCTTCCCTCGTCTTCCTGCTCGTCCCTCTCCCCTCTCCCCCCCCTCCCTCCCCCTCCCCCCCTTGTCTTCCCCCCGCCGCCAGATCTCCCTGCTCAACAAGAAGTTTCACGCACTCCAGGGCCGGCCGCCGCCCGTCGCCGTCGTCGGCGTCGTCGCCGCGGGCCCCGAACGGCATGGATCGGGCCAGACGAAAGGGGGGGATTGGGAAAGGAGGGGTTTACGAACTCTGCTGCATGCAGCTGTTTTCGGCCTCACCGAGAGGCCCATCGTCGATACATAGCCGCCTCCGGCGCCGGGAGGCGCCGGGGAAATCAGCTACGCGAGCTGATTCTCCCCCCCCCCCTTTGCTATCCCCCCTTTCGCCCGACCCGAATGGAGAGGAGCGGAGGGAGGGAGGATCGGGCGGACGGCAACGGGAGGGCCACAGAGGGAAGGGGATCGAGGATAGCAGGAGAGTGGCCCGACGGGGGTCCCAAACGGCTCCTCAACTGCCGCCGCGGGTCAAATTAATTACCCTGCAACGTACCCAACCCTTTCTATACACGTGGCGTTTCTCTTCAGGACCACTCAATGCTGACTGGCATTCTGAAGGACCAGCAGCGCGCAAGAAGAGCGCTCAGGAGTGAAATCAGAAGAGAGCATCAAGAAGAGGAACAGCAAACATACAAAATGGAAGCGCTAGGGCGTTAAAAGAAGCACAAAAGCGGGGGGCGGCGAGGGCTAAACCAGAACATCGGTTTAACTCAGCAATGCGCTGCGCTGAAAGAGGCAAATGCATGAGGTGCATAACGGGGGCGGAGACTCACCCAAAAGTGGAGACAAAAGGGCGCGGCAGCGGACCCAAAGAAAATAACCCAAAAGTGGAAGCAACAGGTCGAGGCCTCAAGGATAAACAGAAGCACCCAGTCACCGCGTGGGACGTACCTCCGCTGGGCCTCCCAGGAGCCCACGAAAGTGGCGACAGTTGCGCAGATCGCGAGCCCTGCCAGGGGGCGGCGAGGTACCGAGGTGACCCGCGTGGGACGTACCTCCGCTGGGCCTCCCAACAGCCCACGAAAGTGGCGACAATTGCGCAGATCGCAAGCCCCCCAAGGGGCGGCGAGGTACCGAGGTGATCCGCGTGGGACGTACCTCCGCTGGGCCTCCCCGCAGCACACGAAAGTGGCGATAGTTGCGCATATCGCAAGCCCTCCCAGGGGGCGGCGAGATACCGAGGTGATCCGCGTGGGACGTACGGCCGCTGGGCCCCCCAGCAGCCCACGAAAGTGGCGACAGTTGCGCAGATCGCACGCCCCCCAGGGGGCGGCGAGGTACCGAGGTGATCCGCGTGGGACGTACCTCCGCTGGGCCCCCCCGCAGCACACGAAAGTGGCGACAGTTGCGCAGATCGCAAGCCCCAAAGGGGGCGGCGAGGTACCGAGGTGATCCGCGTGGGAACTACCTCTGCTGGGCCTCCCAGCAGCCCACGGAAGTGGCGACATTTGCGCAGATCGCAAGCCCCCCAGGGGGCGGCAAGGTACCAAGGTGATCCGCGTGGGACGTACCTCCGCTGGGCCTCCCAGGGGCCCACGAAAGTGGCGACATTTGCGCAGATCGCAAGCCCCAAAGGGGGCGGCGAGGTACAGAGGTGATCCGCGTGGGAACTACCTCCGGGGCCTCCCAGCAGCCCGCGAAAGTGGCGACAGTTGCGCAGATCGCGAGCCCCCCAGGGGGCAGCGAGGTGCCGAGGTGATCCGCGTGGGACGTACCTCCGCTGGGCCTCCCAACAGCCCACGAAAGTGGTGCTTTACGGCCCATCTACGCCCGATGGGAAGGTGCGTGCGGAGGAGGGGGGCGCAGGAGCAGGCCTCAGCCGTCCTCTTCACCACCGCGCAGTAGGCGATCTGTGATCGCCAGGGGTGGACGTAAGGTGGCTCAGTGGCTGGGGGGCGTCTGCGTCGGCATGCCCGAGTCGTTGTGCCCGTCCCACAGAAGTCGGCCTGCGAGGTGCGCTTTCTGGCGCGAGGTCTGCGGGAGCTGCGGGGCCCGTTCCAAACAGGGGAGGGGCCCCACGAACCGAACAGGGCGCCCCGAACTAGCGCCCCTGTCTCAGGCGCGCGCGTGCACCCGCTCGCGGGCAGCGCGTATTCGTGGCCCACAAAGTAGGGCAGGTGTCGTGTGCCGCGCGTTCTCCTCGTGCTGTGTCTCGCGTCTGCGCGCGCGCTCGCGGGTCTCGCGCGCGTCCCTGGCGCGCGCCTTCTGTCAGTCGCCGTCTCGCTCAGGCGGTTTCACTTTCGGGCTGAGCGTTGCGCGCGTCGGTTGTCTGGTCCGAATTGCCACAGCCACGGCCAGCACTCCGTTTCTGCCTTTCCTCGAGTCTGGCGCCGACAGCCACGCCAAGCGCGACCAGACGTGGCTGAGGCCAGTGAGCGAAGTGTTGAAAGCCAGCGGAGTTGAACGCGCGAAGGAGATGGTGAAGCTCAACGTCAGGGCTGCGACGTTTGAGATGAACGGGCTGCCCGAGGGAAAAGTTGCCTTCCTGGAGCGCGCAGCCGCCAAAGCGACCCAGGCGGCCGCGCAGAAGGCAGAGGCCCAGCCGGCTGGTGCCAGCGGCTCCCAGGAGTCTGTGAGCGCTCTCCTGCAGGCGCTCCAGGGCGGCCGCGAGCCCGCCGTCCACGTGGAAATCGCCGCGGGACTGGGCAAGATATCAATGGCCAATTTGCCGGCATCGTGCTGGCCGCCCCCCCAGTTGACCGACCGACTGGGCACTGAGCCATTTCAGGGCCGCGGAAGGCAAGGGCATTTTGAAGCCTTTCTTTTACTTGCCGATCAAGAAATTCCTCCGAATTACGCGACGGACAAGAGGCAGCCCAACGCGGCCGAAGAGCATGGCGAAGAGCGGTCTTTCGCGGAAGAGATCGCCCGCGGAATCTGCCAGGCACGGGATCCCGACCAGATGCAACGCGACCTGCCGAGCATCCTGCAGTGGTGCGTTGCCTTCGATAGGTGGGCGATCGTCGCAGAGCTCACGGGCCACGCGGCGCGCGCAGCTTCCATGGCACGCAAGAAGGTCGTGATACAAATCGCCTTGTCGGCGCGAGCCAATCAGCGCACGGCCGCGCTCGCCGTGCTATACGACGAGATCGCCAGGCGCCAATGGGCCGACTTGGCGGCAGGCCAGGTCAACTTCGACGCCGCCACGGCCGCGCAGTCTCAGGGCTCCTCCATCGTGCTCAGGACGGAGCGCGAGTATCTTGCCCGCGGGCAACCGGTTCTACAGAACTCAGCCCCGACGCAGTCGAGGGGCAAGGGCAAGGGCTCCGGCAAGGAGCACAAGGGCAGCAGCGCCCCCTTCACCAAGGGCGGAAAAGGCCAAGGGCTCCGGCAAGGAGCACAAGGGCAGGTCACAGCCCGACACCTACCGCGGGCAGTGGTCGCACCAGGCCGAGGGCGTCGACAACGGGGCCAGGGCGCCGCGCTTCAAGACGGGGCCGTGAGGGGCCGCTTCGGCCCTGGACAGCCGGGGGGCCCTGCCGCCCGCGCACCAGGCGCAGTCCGCCGCGGCGCCAGTGTAGGCCCAGCCACAGGCGGTGCCCGCTCGCACCCTGTGGGCGGATCTGAGCCCCCCGCCTCGTTCGCATGCCGCGCCTTACTCGCTTACTCTGTGCAATAAATTTGCGCTCGACGATCTCGAGGCGCTGCGTTTCACCCGCGGGGCGCTCATTCGCCGCGACGCGCAGCCCAAGCGCGCGCGTGCGTCAGGATGGGCTGGGGGCAATCCAGTGGGGCGCCGAACGCAACCTTGCCCAGGGAGTGCACTTGCGAAGGCGAGCAGCGCGTTCGACGCATCGAGGTCATGGCAGAAAAACTCGAAGCTCTGGCGCCGCCGAGGCCGAGCGCAGGGCAGCGCCGCTTCTTTTTGCCCCGCTTCTCGCGGGGTCAACATCCCGCCCATGCGCGCATTGGCGCGCGAGGCATCCTGGCACGACGCCGCATGCATCTATTTCTTCACGTGCGGCGCCCCCTTGATGGGCAGCCTGGCGCGCAGCGGGAACGGCTGCGCGCTTGGCCTGGGCGAGCGCCCCAGCGACGCGTGCGACGCGGCCTGTGCGCTTAAGACCAGCGCCCTCGTAGGCAGCGCATCTGTGCTCTCGTCAATTCGCGAGAACCCGCTCGCCAGCGAGCTGCTACAGAAGACGCGGGACGAGGCGGAGCTGGGGAGGACGTTTCCGTCCCGGGCGTTTAAGCCCAACGTTTCCGCTGCCGAATGAGCCGCGGCTTGGGGCGAAAGAATTCGCTTTGTGCATAGGTTTGGGGTCTCCCAGCCCAGGCCGGACGGGTCCACGAAGGCGCGCCCGGCGGGCGATTCCACGCGCTCAGAGGCCAGCGGCGCGTGCGCCCCCGCAGAGAAACTTAGCGTGGAAGGCGGCGATCAGCTTGTGGCGTTGGCGCGAGTTTTCTACGCTTCGCACGGCGAGATTTCCGCGCTCTGGAGAGCAGACATCGACTCCGCATATCGCCGCATCCCGCTTGATCCAAACGACAGGTGGGGCGCAGTCAGTTTTTTTCAGATTGCGACCGCTTGTGGCGCTCGCAGCACCAAGGGTGCCCGTTCGGCGCGCTAGCATCTTGCCACGACTGGGACCGCGTGGCCGCCGTGCATGCGCACTTCGCCAGGCAGCTCGCGAAGCTGCCCGTGCTCCGGTACGTAGACGATTACTTCTCGCCGGATCGTTCCGTCGCGGTGGATCACGCCAGAAAATGTTTCGCGCGGATCGTCAGGGCCGCGCTTGGCGGCAGCGCGGTGGCCGACTCGAAGCTGGCGCACGGGGCCCAGCTCGTCGTGTTCGGCGTGTTGTTCTCGTTTAGTGCTCGCGGCACTCACTGCGAGCCAGCAGAGGACAAGCGTGTTTAATGGTCGGCTAGCATCCGGAGCGCGAATGCTTGCGGCAAGCTGCACCAGGGCGCCGGTAAGAAACTAGCAGGCGCCCTCGCCTGGGCAGCGCAGTGCATGGTTAAACGCCTAGGCCGTGCAATGTTGCGCCCGGTTTTCGCGCAGCAGGACATCCGCTCCAGCCGTATCCGGCGGCCGCTCGAGCTCGCCTTGCAGTGGTGGATCCAGGCGCTCGAGCTCAAGTGG